ATGGACATTGTCTAAATATGAGTGTATGTGTATGCGATCAAGGTTGGATAACATATGACAATGTAAATGGAACTGACAACAATTGTTTGTATGAACAACGTTCGAAATCAGTTGCTTTTCTCATCTCCTTTTTCGTTGGCGTCCTTGGTGCCGATTGGTTTTATCTTTCGCGTGGAAATGCAGAATATATTGTCGCAGGCATATTCAAAATATTCTTTGGATGTGGGTATTGTGGTGCATTGCCATTTATGCTTTGTAATGTAGCGACGAATCGAGATACATTTTTTGTACTAAACTATATAGTCAGCATATTGTTAATTATTAGTACAGCTGTTTCGTGGATCATCGATTGGGAACGTATTTTGAATAACAAATTTCCAGATGGTAATGGCGTTGGCCTCATGCCATCCTCATAATATGCAAGAATATCTTTTCATGTTTATCTATTAGTACCTGTACATTAGTAAAATAAACGAGAAGGATGTTGGTGTGGTTTTTAGCCAGGATGCAGAAAATGTCTACCATTATCGAAATAACTAGAAGAAAATAATTGTGATGATAAAGGGTATCCCAAAATAATTGAGGATAATTTATCAAGGATATTCTTTCATACTTTTCTCGACGAAGAAGGCTGAAGTTTTTATGACACATATATCCGAAAATCTTTAATTTTCCAAAGTTTCAGCTCTCTAAGTAAGATTAATGCTGAAATGCCTAGACATGATTAATATACATGAATTTTTGCACTTGATTTTTGTGACATCTTTATTAGTTGACCAGTCTTATTTATAGAAATCTGATGGAAAGAAACTTTATAAGACAAATTCTTTTAAAAATGTAAATTATAATAAAACTCTATGTATATGAACATGTTTGCCATGGCTTTCTATAATCAAATGTAATTGACAAGATATTTTGTCAATATTTTTTCCACATTTTTTTTTCGTAAATGTTCTCCATTCTTATGCATTTTCTTTTTTTAATTGTAATGATATATCAATCACTTTTCCGCGAACTTGAATGTGGGTATAAGTGTTAGGCAGCTGCAGAGCCACGTTTTCTTGGACCCGAGTTTTTTTACCAATATCTGGCACCCTCTATGTAAATAAACAAGTCAAGCATCAAAGTTTTAGCTGTTTATTGAAACCAATATTAATACCAAAATCTTCAAAGTGTGAGTGTGGGTATGTTGTTTTTCTGCCTCCAAACCACACATCCACACTCTCCAATCTAGGCTACTTTCTATTCGTGTGAAAGATCCTACGTGCTTACGTGATCTTATCACTAATACGAATAGTCTTCAAAACTTCAATGTTCGATGTGAATTTGGAAAGTTCAGTGAAGTGTCATGCTTACAGCTAACATCGATAGATAATTAAGTTTTTGCAGCAGTTGCGAGAATATTTGACATCTGTATGTCGAATGCTGAAAGAAGATTCTCCGTGTGGATTCAATAATAACTTAGGCACGAACAGGGAAGCTGCAAACTAGTTATGACGTATTTGATTGAATAATTGATTGATAACGTTGGCTTGAAAGGTAAATGTAATTATGAAATTGGACTTTTCAATTTAAGCTGTAGGATGTAGAGCAAGTGATAAGCTTTGAATTTTATCGTATGAACAGAATTAGGCTCTAAAGTTGCATTTCGTATAGAGTTTCTTTTTTAGATAAGATATCGTTGGATCAACTGAGAACATCAGTACAACACGTCTGAGCAAAAGTAATGAGGAAAGTCAAGTTATCTTAGGAGGAATAGGTTTTTCTAGAAAGCTATTCGAAAGATCATTTATCGTTCATTGTCATATGCTCGTTTGGAACGAACTAAGAGCATGATAATACGAGGATTTCTCTATGAATCATTTGAAGTTGACTTCGATCAGTTTTTGTGACACAAAAGGTTCTGGTCTGATCGATAGAATAAGTGATTGTGGTGAAGAAATCCTTCAATGAACAATTCATTACTAACTTTTCTCATATTAAAGGTTAAAACCAAGGGAAAAATAGCTCATTTTTTTTAAAAACTTTCTGTCAAGTTTAAATAAAAGTCAATTTAATCAAAAAAAATAAAAACAAAAATCAAACAAATATTTATTCCAGAAAATCTGGTTTTCAACGTTTTGTGCCTTGATTTTAGGTATTTTCTTATAACTTAAGCCTTTAGGAGTCAATGCACGAAACAGATGACAACTTTATTAGAACCCCTGCTCAATCGATCTCACGGATTTCGATGAAACTTTGTCCATATGTAGGGTGTGGGTGTGGGTATGGACGCTGTTCATATCCTTTCTTATAAATCCACACCCACACCCATCCTAATAAAACAGACCGTGTTCTGCGTCATACATTTTCAATATTGTTGTACTGAAGTTTAATAAAGTGCGAGAAATATTTATTATAACATTACAGAAGAAAAAACTGAGCATGTAAGGCAATCATCTAACTTGTATTAAATTTTCAAGAGGTATAGGAACATTCTCGTAGGAAAATGCTATCAACGTTCATCGTATCAATTCTTTGCCTAGCCGGTATGTGCAATAGTCGTATTCTTCTCTATGATACAGGAAACAGTGTAATATCATCAGAAAAAATCGATTGTATATATGTACGTGATGATGTTGATGTTGATTATGGTGATGGTAGTAGTACAGGAAAAGTACCCTACTGTATACGACTAGACGTTATTAAAAATTTCAAAAGGAGCATCAACACATGTGTGAATGGAGGACAAACCAAATATTTTGTTGATTTTTTTGAAAGAAAATGTACAACCATTGGAAGTACTTGAATGGAATTCAGGTGTTCAGATGGCTGAAGAATATGCTGCAATTTATTACAACGATCATTCACTATTCAAATCAGGTATGAAACAAAATTTTCTGTGCCGTTGTATACATCCAAATACTTTTGGTAAATACTGTGAATATAAATTGACTCCTGAAGCCAACTCGTTCGAAGCGTCTCATATTTCGCAAGCAGACCTTCGACTATCCAATAGTGACTGCAGTCAGATCTATGGTAACATTTTATGCTACAAGACAGTGTTATGTGATTCGGAACTTTTATGTCTCGATTGGCGAGATATATGTGATGGTATTCAACAATGCATAAATGGATGGGATGAAGAAAATTGTAGCAAACTCGAATTCAATGAATGTGAAGAAAATGAATTTCGATGTATAAATGGTATGTGTGTGCCTGAAGAATATTGGCTAGATGGTAAGTTTAGTTATTTGACGAAAAAAACGAACAAGATGGAATATTTCTCATAATTTAGGTGATAATGATTGTATGGATTGGAGCGACGAAACTTCTAGGTTGATTTATGGTTGCTTCTGTTTTTGGAAATCAACTACGATAGATTGTGATGAACATATTTGTCATCATCGCTGGTGGTCATGTGGATATGGACAGTGTATCAGATGGAACAACAGATTGAGTTTTCATAATATCTTTCGTGATCCTTGGAACTGTTTGAATATGCATAATATAAACTACATGTACGAATTGAATACATTTCTATCTATGTGGACACTCGAAAATGGTTTGTGTTGGAATTCCATTTATCTATATGATGATCCTCGACTGAGCACGGAAAATGCTGCTCTTTCTGACGTCGAGGGTGTGGGTGTGGATATCTTCTCATCAACTACACCCACACCCACACACACCCACACACACCCACACCCACACACACCCACACCCACACACCTATACCCACACCCACACGCCTACACCCACACTCTATGAAAGAAAAATATGTCTAAACATCACAGCGTGTCCAAAAACACGCAGAAATGAATTGGCAAGTGAGTTCCCGTTCCTTGGGAAGAGAACTTGGAGAGACAGAAACCCTGATACCCCTAAACATTTGAAACAATGCATCGGTATTTGTTTCTTTCCGTATAATGTAGTCTTCCTCGCAGACAAAAATCATTTTGTTTTTTCTCATTCACTTGTTTTGAGTGTTGTCCAAGCTTCATGAAACATCTGAAGACTACAAGGGCTGACGTGATGCAGCCAAATAAACCGCATATTCTTTTTCGGAGAAATTCTGAAGGACGAAGAAAATAACTACTCATATTCGATTGTTGACTAAAGTATTACGGACGTTGTTATTTACTTACATCACGTCATTCTCTCTGGATGCAATCTCTGTTGTTTGTCGTCAACAAAGAAAGAGAAGAGTCTATTTCAGTCTACTTTGCGCATGTAATCACAGAAGAGGACGAAAGATTTCACAACATCAAGCAAAATAATGCAAATTTTCATTGTTTGAAACGACTGCCTCATATGATTTTAGCACTACTTTCAGATGTTGAAGATTGACTTTCTACGTGTATCTAGACTATATGGTCAATGAATGGCCTGGCACAAAGAAAGCCCGATCTTTCGAAACCTGAAGACATAGTGCCACCTCAGCTACTCTTTGCTACTAATCTGATTTCACCTCAAAGTTGTAACTGATCTGGTCCGAATCATTAGAACCGGCCGGTTTTTACCGCTCTAAAATACTGAATAGAACATAAGAGAAATGAACACATAGAGTAGGGTCAGTGTGCAGGTGTGGCTGTGGATGTGTTTGTGAATTTTGACCGGAGTGACGATGAAAAGAATGCTCATGCCCCACACCCACCCGCATCGCACACCCCAGATACACAGCTACACCCCACACCCATACAACCACAACCGTACCCACACTCACACCCACACCCACACCCTGTTTAATAGAAAATGCCTATTTCGAATAATAGATATTTTCTTGTTGTGTTCGATTGAGTCACAACTGAATAACCTAGATGGTTTTTGTTATTGTTGTTTCGGATAAAAAAGAAAACTCATTATCATAAGGGATGTCTTATTGCTGATGATGATCGTACTCTTAAAGATGAAAAATTCCAGTATATGTGAAATTAAATTACGTTGCTATTATTTATTATGTAATTAGATTTAAAGTTAGTAGTGACATATAAAAAATATTAATGTTTTTTTTTTGCTTATTACACACTTTGCCCCATAACTAATGCTCTTTCCATTGCATCTATACTTTTCTTCAAATTCTCACGTTTTTGCTGTTGATCAAATGGTTCACGCATCCATTCAAACAAAATAGCCGATGTAAATGCTGAACTCAGTTTTGAGTCGAGTGGAAGAGCACATCGAGTGATAAACCAATAGTAACAAAGTTGAGAAACCTGATCAACAATACGTTTTTCAACTACACGACAATAAGCTGACATTGCTATTTGAACATCTAATGCAGCTTGATGTTCATTTGAAAGATTACTCAAATCTATGACGAAGTCATCGATAGCAAATCTCGAGGAAAATTGGTCATATTCATCTAATAAAGAAAAACGACAATTGACAAGCATAGATTTTATTGATAGACATGAAGCTTACTTATTTCTACGCTATCATTGTATTCTTGACATTTTTTTTTGATTTTGTTCACTGTATCCATGTAGTAATGATTAAGTGTAAATACTCGTTTTTCAATTTCGAGCATCTTTGTTATATCATTACTGCATTCTTCTTCACTTTCGCCGATAGTACGTAGAATTATATCAGTTAATTTATGTACTATTTGATATTTATAGCTTGTCTCTTCAGCAAAAACTTGATTTAATATTTTAATCAACACTAATTTCAAATATTCAGTATACGATTCAATTAGATCTTCACATGGTTTTCGAAATTTGTTTTGTTCAGCACGATAAAGTCGTTCAATGATGCTAAATGATGGAAAATTAGGTAAAGTGACACCAGTATTTTCTTCAAGTAGATTTAATACGAGTTTTTGATATTCTGATGACAAGAAATGTGCGAAAGAACTATGAAGTTTTTCTCTACATTCTTTTTGTCGATTATATAGTTGAAAGGCAATCCGTTCATCGAACCGATCATTAGAGATTTGTGTAATAGTAGCTGCTCGTAACACGTCAAATGTTGTAACGGTCGACTCTTCAATTTTTAATTGCATCTCATTGTCATATACTCCATGAACACGTGCATTAATGATTTCACGATATTTTTTAATTAAATCTGTATACAATGCCCAACAATCCATTTCAGAAGTAACTGGTGGTGGCATTTGTTTCAATTCAGATTTCTTTGACTTGATTTCTTTTTTAAGTTCATCTATTATTGAAGGAAGAGTTGAACGAATGCGTTCTTGTTGAATTAAAGCAAGTCGTTTGACTAATTGTTCACTGCCAAGATATCGCTCTGGCACATCTTTAAAAGCTTTATTTGAACAAAAGAATTTTTGTTCTCGTCGTCGCATTTCATCAAATGGGATATTTTGATCTATTTCTTCTTGTGTACGATTAAGGACAGCTATGCAACCAAGTTTTAATGCCATTGAACCTGGCCCAATACCTTGAAGTTTTTCACCAATACCTCTGTCAAATTTATCAATTTTTGATACAGCGATCAATTGTCGTTCACCTTTCAATACAGATAATAGTTTAACAATTAGAAACAAATTATATATTCTTACACTGTGGATCATTCTTTTTTGCAAGTTGAATCGATTCCGAAGTTGTAAAATCGACAGACGAAGGAATCACATGCAAGACAATAGCTGTTCGTGGTTTAATATAATGTTCAATAAGTTCAACTATATCTTTATGAATAGTTTTCGATTGTCCACCAACTGGATTACGAGTAATACCTATAAAAATGGGAATAAAATATCGGTTAACAATTGATTCACCTTATCATATGATGCGTGATTACCTGGTAAATCAATCAATGTCAAATCTGCTTGGATATGTTTCTTATATACCGTTAAGTAAATAGGCTTTGGTGAAACGTTAAGTCCTTCACCTGCTAATCGCACTGTACAATCTTTTACCATGCCCATGATCTCAGAAAACTTGTTGACTCTGATCTCAGGTATACCTTCACATCGAATAGTAGCATACTCTTGCTGATTCAATGGAATAGTTTTCATGCGTAACTCGAGTGGGCATCGAGTGCAAATATTTTGTGCTCGTGGCAATTGGATCCCACCTAGTGCTTCCAGAACAGACGATTTACCTACCTTGGAATGTGTCAAATATGAGATCGATATAGTAATCAAAATGTGATTTTACTTACTGATTGATCGCCAACAACAACAATATGAGGAAGAGAAATTTTCTCATAATGTAATATTTCTCTCATGTCATCAACAATCTTGAGAAGACGACGAGATTCTGCAGTGTTTAACTCATCAGTAAGCATGCTTAAATCGATATTGTGTGCACGTTTAAGATTTGTCAGAAGTAATGCTTTAGTTTTTGTGGCAAACTCCAGATTTTTTTTACTTTGATGTCTGCTATAACAGAACATCTGTATTTATATAACTCTTTTTCCTTATCATTGCTTTCAAATTTTCACTTTTGATTCAACAAGTCGTATAGCCGTCTGTTTTTTTTCTTCAAGTGTACTGTTTTCGTTTCATACTTTACGCAAAACATGGGTATCGAATTTCTACCATAGTATATGTCGTCAAGACGGCCGACTGTCTACGAACAATGAGAAGAAAAACAAGAATTTCATTTACAAATAGCGAAAAAAAAATTGAATTATTGCTAGACTTAATTAACAATTGAATATATTAAAAAGAACATGTCATATTTTTTAAAATGTCCTGATTGTGAATGTTTTCAAAGTAAATAGTATTCACTATCGAGTCTCATTTTTGTATCATCGAGAGGAATATAATTCTTGTGATGTGGTTAGAGGTGTTACTTTATTTTTATTTTCTTCATAATAAAGAATAAAGATAAAGAAAACCTTGATGTTTAAAAAATAAAGATAAAGAAAAGCTTCCTTATCTTTATAAAATTAAAATAAAGGCAAAATAAAGACTAAAGAATTTTTTTCCTATCAAAACTCGTTTTTTTTTATTTTGTCGAAGTACCTCATAAAGAATGATCATATTATACAATTAAATATATTATGGGATGCGGGTGTGGGTGTGGGTATGAGTCTTCTCTTCACGCATACGCTTACACCCACACCCGTCATCTGCTCCTTCATAAACGATAAAAAGTTTTCCTCTATACCTCATTTTTTCCAAAAATTTTTCAAGCTTTTCGAGACCCCCTATTCGAAAACCAGCGGTTTTTTGAAAAATCACAAAATGTTTTTCATTTTTTCTCTGTGTATGACTTTTTGATCTTTTGTCCAATATTTTTCGGTCCAGGCTCTTTCAATATATTTAAATTTTCTATTGTTCTTCAAGAGCATGCCCAGGTGCAGAGCACCACAGAGTCCTTTTTTTAGTTAAGCTTTTTTTTTTATTATATATACAGACATTTATGTAACTAGACAACCATTTTTGGCGCTTTTTTTTGAGCCATTGAACTTGTGATCCCCTTTTTCCGCTAAAAAAATAAGAATTAAAAAAAAAAGGACTCTGTGGTGCCCTGCATCCTGACTAGGGGTGGCACTTTATCTTTACTTTATCAAGTAAAGTAAAGTAACCCAGCTTTACTTTACTGGGTAAAGTAAAGTAATCCTACTTGACTTTACCGGATAAAGTAAAGTAAAGTAAAGTGAAGTATCTCTAACTTTATCGAACAAGCAAAATATAGTAAAATAAGATTAAGAAAAGTATGTAGTTGATGGTTATTCATTTCTTAGTTTATTATCATACATTAATCACGCTTTAATATGTCAAAAGTTGCGTGGAATTACGGATGAGAAGCCCCAAATTGTTTAAACCTGATTTTATTACTTTGAAAGTCAGCATCGAACTCTCAATATTCTTCACAATTCTGTATTTCACATGGTCACAACTCAAATTTTGATACTTGAGGTCCCCTTAGGTATCGAAAAAACAATTCTCTAGCTATTCAATCACAAGTCTTTGTAATTCAATAGTATGAAATGTGCAG